TTTGCTCTGATTAATGAACCTCTAGTCAGTGCTTGATTACTACTTGTCTGTTCACCCTAAAGGAAGCTGTTCTTCAAGGTAAGCTGAAAGAAACGTCAAGCCTGCCCAATGCTCGCTGTCCTAAATTGGCTTCTCTCTTTACCTGTGTGCTCTTCACCTCCTGCCTCCTGTCTTACTATTGATGAGCAGATCCTACAACCTGGGCTTTAATAAGTTGACTTTAGAGTGGCTGCCAGGTCATTTCTTCTCTTCCACAAGTCTACTTGTCCTTTAGTACAGAGATAGAAATGGCAAGGAACATCAGAAAGAGATTTTTAGCCTTTGTTGTTTAAACTGGATCTTAACAGCTACTGTTGAGCCATCCACGTAGGTGAGCATTTTTTAAATAAGCCCACAAAAACTAGAAGGTAGCACCATGACTGTGCTGGAGAAACTTGCTGAGAAGCAGCTCTGCAGCCAGGGAGCGTGTAGACCAAAGAATGAGAACTGTAAGGTGACAGCAGAGAAGCTAAAGGCCATTGAAATACAGAGAGCAAAGGTGGTTTTGGGTTGAGTTAGTGAAGTCTTCAGGAGGGGGATTCATTTTGAGTGGACCTGCAGGACTGGCAGATGGGCGTAAGGAGGAGACTGGCAAAGGCCACACGTAGGTACTGTGGCCCTGGTACCCAGCCTTTTTACTGCTTGAAAGAACAAACCAAAACCCAAACGTTGCGATCAAGTCAATTCCATCTCATAGTGACCCTATAGGACAGAGTAGAACTGCCCCATACAGTTTCCAAGGAGCGCCTGGTGGATTCGAACTGCTGATCTTTTGGTTAGCAGCCATAGCTCTTAACCACTGCACCACCAGGGTTTCCTTTTACCACTTAGCACCCCTTTTATTCTTTTCTCCATCAGTGAATTGAAAGCGGTTGCCCATCCTACAAAATGCATTTATGAAGGAGTAATTAAGTTTCCCATGTTTTATTAATCACATCTCTAACTGCCAATCAGAGGTCCTGATGAGCATGAGATAACTGGTGTGACCATACTGAGTTGCTGTAATTCTAGCCCAGAGCAAAGGCACTTGATGTCTCTGTCAGTCTGTGCAGTCTTATCGGGGGTGAATTCCTGTGCGGCCTGCTGCAATGCTGCAGTGCTGCAAGGTCCTCATTATTACCTTTGCGGACCCTCAGGCGCCTCGGTTTGGGATGGGTTGCCATCCAGGAGACTGATACAGCGAGGGTGAAGGGTCTTTTGTGGGGTAAGGGAAATACGGGCTTCTCTATGTGTTCATTATACTTCGGTCATTCGAGGGACCTGAGCATAAGGATTTCTATTTCTAGACATGGCTTTCTTACCCACAGGTTCTTAAGTATTTGTATTGTAATTTTTGTATTAGCTGGAAGATTTATTTTTACTTTTTTTTTTCCTTTCTTTTTCTCCTTTGCAATTCTTAGCTTGGTGTTAAAATTGCAAAAGCTATCGCCTGCCACAACTTTGTAAAAGCCAAAAAGGAGGCTGAAAATTCACAGGTTGTTCGAAAAAAGAAGAAACTTGCATGGGGGTAAGTTTAAGATTTTTAGTAGTAATTCTAACTTCATAGGAGTTACAGAAATCCTGCTAATACATTTTGTAAATCCAGTTTGTGTGTAATTTTGATTCATTTTGTTCGTTGTCTCTTTGAATGTTTATCAGATTATAAATATGGAGGCATTTCTTCATCCTGTTTGATGTTTAGTTTGTAATCAATGGAATATATGAAAAATTTTTCAGTTGGTTTTACTTTGGGCACTTACTAAACATGCTACTTCAGCAAAAGTAATTACTTTATTTAAGAAATGAATCAAGATTTTTATGCTCTTTGTTTTAGATTTGAAGCAAAGAAGAGATGGGAAACCAAAAGCAACATGGGATATATGTAACTTGCCAGAGTTCTGCGAGATCTTTCTGACTCCCAAGTGCTTGACTGACTGAAAAGATTTTCTTGCTTACACTAAATATGTCAAGAAACAGATAGAAGTAGAAAAACAAAGCCTAAAATTTGGGAGTTGATTATCAAACCTTTTCAATCTTTTTCTAAGGAGCTTATCCTGTTGATGCGGAGCATTCTGTGATTGATACAAGAAATCTAAGTATACTACAGAAAGAAATGATAGGGTTCATTTATTTATTTATGTAGACCTGTAGTATAAAGTCAGTTTTACTTTTCATCTGTTTGGTATAGCATAGCCAGTGAGCTTCTTGAACTTTCTTGTCTGTACTTGGTTTAACTGCACTTACTCTGGAATGTGGTTTTTAAGATTGGTATTTGTTTATGATGGATTGGTGATAAGTGCTGAGAAAGTCTTACTTGATACTGTCTTTTCCTGATGACTTTAATTACCGTAATGTTATATAAGTAATTATTGACTGTTGGGAGGAAGTAGAGTTGATATGTCACAGTCACATGGTAAAAGCAATTGATTAATTTTTGTGTACCTTCAGATAAAATATTTCAATAAAAAAATCATAGATTGTAGTATTTGGAGGATGATTTAAATTCAGCTCTGCCTGGATATGTCTTCCTAAATATTCTGTCTCAGCCATGTCTTTCTTTAAATTATGAAATAGTTCTTAGAAGAGAGAATGGTATAGTTGTGTTAAACATACAGTTATAACTCAGGACAATATTACTTTGAACCTTCTAAGAACATGGTTTGATTGGTTTTAGTTCCCTTCCCTGTTATTCCTTCAAAGAGTAAATAATCAGGTTAAAGAAAGGATTGGTACCATGGGAAGTAGTTTTCGTTAGATGTGTATTTCATAGTCCTAACTGAGAGGGGCTTTGAGAAATCATATAATAAGCCAGAAAACAAGACCACAGATGGACATCGTGAGTACTTTGTCAGGCCCTTGGCCTTTTGGCACTGCCTAGTTTCCATGCTCAGTAGATCTGAAGAACTGCTCATTGTGGTTTTCAACAGTTCACCTCCCTTCCTCAGCCTTCATCAGAGGTTCTGTTTGCTAGCTGTCTAATATAAACTTTCTCTGGGTGGATAATATAAATTCAGGAACATATAAAATGAGTCATGATTATAATTATTATTATTTTATTGTTTTTAGTCTTATAGTAACAACGTACTAATTTATGGTGGCATATTTAATGTTTCTGTGTTCTAGAATAAGTGAATAAATGACTGGTTACTATTTAAGAGAACAAAACTCATCTTATTTCCACTTGGTTGAGAAAAGCCAATATAGAGAAAGCAAGATTTTAGAAGATTGTGTTTCTATTTATAGAATTCATCATCGAAAGGTATCCAGGCTGAATATTGTAAAATCCTACTTCTTATGATTTAACATTTCCTGTTGTGTTAATATAACTGTGTACTGTTTACCTAGAACATCCCATTTCAAAATCAAAATTCTGTAGATGAAGACAAACTTATAGGAGCCTTTCCTCTAAAAATCCACTATATGGGAAAAATCTACTACACAGTCCAGTGGTTTTGTCTGAAACATTAAACGTGTCTTTGAGCAGGCGGATGCATAGGGTCCCAAGATGAGCATTTCCTCTCAGCCTCAGCTTCATTTTTCTTTTCCCCGTTTCCACATCCTTCGAGCACCGAGTGACCCTCACAGGCATGCTTCACCACGCTCATCGTGCTGAGGCCTTCAGAGTGGCCTCCTGTAGGATCTGATGTTGAGAGCCCCTGACGAGAAGGCCTTCTTCAGCCTGCAGCAGTGCCAGCGGTTACCCCAGTGCCCTCCGCAGGGTGCTCCTGTAGAGGGGAGCAGTGTAACTCATTTGATAAGGGGAGCCATCTCGTAAGTCCACACTTTTGAGGGGCATGGTTTGTGCAAAGCTCCAAAGCATTCTGGTACAGCCGAAGAGGTAAGGATATTAAGTATTGGGGGCAGGAGGAAGGAATGAGGGAGTGGAAGACACTGGCTGTCTCGGCTTGGCCCTGCTGGCACTTCATTTAGGACCAGTTTTGTTTCACCGGCTTTAATATGAATTAGACGTTTTATTCATTAAAGGAGTCACATGGGGCCATTATTTCTAGACTGCCAGTGTTGCTCAGAGAGTGTCCTCCCCATTCTGGTCACAGTGAAATAAGGATTCTTTTTGGATCAGTAATAACTCGAGTCCCTGAAGCTTCAACATGTACATGTACTACCACCAGAATGCCTGAATGAGATTAGTAATGTAAATGTCAGTTCTTGTTAACTGAGATTAATATGTTTCAGGCCGTTGGTATGGCGTTAATGTAACTATGATTTACTGTTTAAGTACTGTAGGCTAAAACAACTTACTAAAGAACAGTAATCTTGAGCTTTACAGCACTGATTTTGAGAAGTAAAGTTGGTAGTGCATTCTTGTTTGGGAGCCCTCAGGATGTTTCTGATTTTTAGCAGAACATTCTATTTCTTTCCCAAAAGGAGAGTTTGAATATATAATCTCAGGTTTGTTATAATTAATTCTGATGACAGAGTTAAATACTTCTCTGAGACTGTAAATCAGTAGTTAAACAGGTTTCTGCAACTGATCGTAAATCTCCAACTCCGTATTTTAAACACACTTCGTTTTTTAGACAGACAGATAGGGAGAGGCAGGCCAGGGACAGGAGAAAAATATTACCTGAACTTTGAATAACAGCTTAGAACTTGACATTTAAAATCTGTTGATTTCTTTGATACCTTTTGTCTGAAATGTTATCTTTTAAATATTTTAATGAATTTCTTTACTCATAAGAATATTTTTATTTTAATTCTTAAAATATGGAGATACAGTTTTCAGAATGCTCAAATTTTCATTTGTTAGGTAAAGATACCACTTTTTTAGAAATGCGTGTTCTGCTAGCCATAAGAAATTTTTTTGGAGGTTGATGTTTAAATAAGCTGCGAATTGTGGGTTATTTTTTTAAGAGATAGTAAAGGTTGGGGACTTAGGTGATGTTACGTCAGGCCCCGTTTTGGAAAATTAACTTAGTGAAACCTCGTCAGATTCAGAGCCCACCTGAAACCAAGTTTCTCCATGTTGGCAGAAGTTGCTTTTATTTGTAGTATCTGGCAGAGCAACAAATGCTTTGCATGTCAGTTTAATATTTTTTCAAGCCAACTGTTTATTCATTGGCTTAAAATTTACCCTCTACAAAGTCTTACTTCTGACTTTCGTGAAACAAATAGTAATATTTGGACAAAATATCTACATGAAAATCTCTTCCAAAACCAAATTTAGATTGGTGTTTCTGGCATCAGTGCCTTCTCACATGGAATAGATCTAAAAGTACTTTGAAAAGTCTAAGGCATTTTAAACCCAGGGAAATGTATTTCTAGTAATTTACTTTTATTATGAAGTAATCAGAGTGTCTTTCAAGATTTTCACGTTTAAGTTAGTGGGAGATCTGATGCTAGAAGGTGGAATATGTGTTAGAGTAAGTTTTAATGAACTATCAAGAGATGATTTTATCAGTGTATATCAAGAATAGATCTATTCTTGACCTTTGTGGCATACTGAGACGATAAGACCCATTTTCCATTTTTTAAGTAGGGGGCATGAGGGTGTTCTGTAGATTTTAGTAAAATGAGCAGAACTGAATTTAGCAGAACTGAATTTACTTTAGTCTTTATTATTTTATCCTCCCACCACCTTGCTCACCTTAAAAGATACCAAAACAAAATAAAATACATTCTTAATGTGTAATCAACTCAGAGACTTACTGGGAAAGAGCTTCTTGGCTTCGCCCAAGAACCTGGCAGCATGTGGCAGGTCAAGATTGCCCTGAAGAATCTTTAAGAGGTATCAAACCATTTTGCTCTAGGGTGAAACTGAATTTTGTTGCTCCTTCAAAAGTATCTTTCCTCTTCACTTTGGACTGTTCTGGAGGTATGTGTTCACTTTGCTAGAACGTCTTCTAATACAGCAGTGCCATTGGAGTAGCTTCCAGCCACACTGGCTTTTGTGTTCTTGACCCCAGGAGTACAAGTGTACAGCTGAGGGATAATTAATCTTTTTATTAGTATCAGCAACCCCTTTTTAGATTCAGGTATAAAAGCTTGAAAAGTTGCCAAGTGAACTGGCATTTTAAAAGAATTAGAATTTAAGTACTTGCGTTTTCTATCCAGACCAGGTTTCTTATGAAAGGAAGCACAGAATAAAAGGGAATAGAAGCAGAAGGGAGGTAGTGCCCGAGAGGAGCGTCGCTGCCTGGTGCTCCTACGACAGGCCTCCTGTACCTGTTCACTGGCTTCATCCTAAAAGCCCCTGCCCACATCTCCTCCTGGGCCCGGGGCTGCCTCCTGCTGAATTGCTGCAGGGGGCCTGCCATGTGACAGGTATGGAATGAGGTAATCTTTACCCACCTCTAATTTCTGAAGGGTGTGTTTGTCCAGTTATTACTTGTTCATTGAACTTAAAGATTTAGAGACCAGCAGTTACCGTACAAGCTGTAATTATTGATGTCTTTCATATTCATCTGTAAGTGCTGACGTTTGATCAAGAAGTTAATATATCACTTCATCTTTAGGCTGAATGTGCCGCAGCTATAAATGTTTTATTGTTTGATGGATAGCACACAATTCTGACTGCCCGGAATAAAAGTGTTTTCATTTGTAATGTGGGTGATACTAGAAGAAGTAATTATGAGTGTCATAAGGAATCATGAAATAATGAAGCTTTGAATTCCTCCCTACGTAATATCTAAGAAACGTTTACTAAACACCTACTAGTAGTAATAAGATATTAAGCTCTTGTGGACAAAGATGACTAAGGCATGTTCTCTGAAGTACGCAGTCTAATGGAACATATAGATAAACTGTGTTTTGGACAAGTTGATCTTTAGATGGGCTGTTAGAAAATTAATGACTTTTTGTTTGCTACATATTAAGAAATAATAATCAACATGTAATAAGTAACCTAGACCTACGTGTTCTCTCTACACCTAGAAGGAATTCGTATTCTTTTTTCACTAATTCAAAAAGGACAAGCAGAATCTGGGTGACTGAGAAGTCTAAGAGCTTCTTAAAACCCAAAGCCTTTAACAAAAACAGTAGAATTGTGACATGAAAATAGACCATGTTGCCTACCCCTAACGGCAGTACTCTAGAAACAGTGACCATACGGTGACTTGAATCTGCAAGGAACCTAAGCTTGTATCACTTCAGACGGGTTACTGAATATAAGACAGTGAGAAGAAGACCCATGGTGCCAAGCTGCCTATCTAGACAGTGAGCTACAGTCACAGCTCAGTGATAGATCCACACACTCGCGCCCGCCTCGGAGGGAGTGAGGCTGACGCCTGACTTTCCCCTTATTCCTGTGCCCACTGTAGAGGTGCAGGTCATTGATGGGCTGAGACTCAGAAATGAATGCAGATGTCTGTTTTGCACATTACTCAGTGATTTTAAGCTTAAAAGTTTGTTTCTTAGGCCACATCAACATGTCCTTTTACATCAGAATGGCTGTGTCATAGTGCCTGTCCATGGTAGATAATACTTGCTGCTGCAACAAGCCCCCCCCCCCATAATAATGATTTG